CGAGAGGAAATATATAAAGAGAAGTGTACCCGCAGGTGTAGTGTATATACTTACCTGCCGTACAGTCCCGCTGGAGGGCAGGTGAAGCTAGTTGCGTCCTGGACACCCGTGAAAGGCCTTCTTCGCTTAACCGACCTTCCCTTCTTCTATGACAAATTTTCAAAGTAAGTCTTGATATCGCAAAAAATAGAAGCACTCAGAGACCGTATACCTCCGCCAAGGCAATAGGGTCTCGCAATGCAAACGAATCCTTCAAAAAGATCCTAGGGGCATATATGTTGGGCTATAGATATATGTTACACACTTCTAAAACTTTTATAAATATCTGTTCGCAACTGTTTAAGTTATCCTGCTAACCAACAAACTTACTAACTAACCAACGCTACCAAAAGCATAATTTCCTTGGCGGAGGTAATTAATAATTCAGTTCCTTTTTGCCGCGATAAGCTGGTCTCGTTACCATGACCAATTCTTTGCTGATATGGGTAGGAATGTCAGAATCAATTATCGATGTACCTGACTAAGCTTGGAGGTCAAAAAGTGTCTTACATTTACCTTATTTATATAAACAAATGCTGTGATCATCAATAACAAATAACCTTCAACCCATAACTCCCTCAAGCTGACCACTTTAGTTACACAAACTGACCTATATTTTCTAGTTTTCTGTTTCTATTATTTCCAGTTTCTACGGCGCCACGATGAACGTCACCGCTAAGGACTACAAGCCGTACTGGTTCGAGCTCAAGGAGGAGGCAGCCGACGGGTCCAAGAAGCTCACCGGGATGGACTACCTGCTCCTTGAGACGGTCGCTAAGGCTCTGAACTTTTCCATTAAGGTTCTCCCCATCGCTAACTGGGCTGAGGTGTGTTGAGGTCGGGAAATGAGGAAATTTTATTTGTAATGGGGGTAGGGGTTGATTAAGAGGTGAAATTCGTGATTTCATGAGTGTTTCATTACCTAAATGTCTGAAGAGTTTAATGATTCATTATTGCTAAGACATTCTGAAAAATATATTTAATGAACTTACTCACAGGCTTATCCCTTTTTAGAAGATCATTTGTTAAAATAGTAAATTAAGTTGATTGAAGCATACATACCCATCATTATAACGAAACCTGTAACAGCCGTAATAAGCGATCTTAGATTATGATAATCACTACAGGCACTGGACAGGGTGGTGTCCAAGGATGCCTTCATAACTCCAGTCATTCACGCAGTCCTACGGCAGAGGCTGAAGCGCTTCGAGTACACGATTCCCTACACTTATGCCTCGTACTCCCTTAGCATGAAAATGCCTGAACTCACTCCCCAGTGGCAGAGCCTCTACTACCCTCTGGCGGGCATAGTGTGGGTGTCCGTGGTCGTGGTAACGGGACTGATGATTGTGGTCATGTATGTGGTAAGTTATATGTGTGTGTGTGTGTGTGTGTGTGTGTGTGTGTGTGTGTGTGTGTGTGTGTGTGTGTGTGTGTGTGTGTGTGTGTGGTTGTGTGTGTGTGTGTGTCTACATATAGACAGATAGATAGATAAATGTATGTATGTATGTATTTGGATATTTAAATACACGCGCTGATATATACATATGTTTACGTACGTATATACATCTCTCCTTTCCCCCCCAGATGAACAAAGTGGGCGACTTCAGCAGTCCCCGCGGCGGCTGGAGCCCGGGACCCGTCGTGCTGGAGGTCGTCGGGCGCTCTTCTACCAGAACCTCTTCAAGACGCTCCCGACCACCGACCCGAGCCGCGTCCTGGTCGTCTTCTGGCTGATCTTCGCCTTCGTCGTCGGGACGGCTTATCGCGGGAACCTCACGCCGCCCTCACGCTGCCCAAGTACCGCTGAAGCCAGAGACACTGTCAGAGGTGGTGAGAGGTCGTGCACAAGTAAGCCAGGGGGGGGGAGGAGAGTACTGTGTGTGTGAGGAGGGGGGGGGAGTTATTCATTTGTTGTTGTTTAATTAGTGTGGTTTGAGTTTTTTTCTCTCTCTTTCTCTGTTTGCCTCCGTCTTTTTCAACTCTCCCTCTCCCTCTCTCTCCCCTCTCCCTCTCCCTCTTCTCTCCCTCTCCCGCTCTTCTCTCTCTTTCTCTCTCTCTCCTTCCAACCCTCCTTTCCTCGCTCCCTCCTCCCCTCTCTCCTCCTCCTCATCTTCCCCTTCTCCCTTTCTCCCCCCTCCTTAACCCATTTTCCTCACCACTTTCTTCGCTTTTCCACCAGAGTTACAATCGAACCCTGGGGGAAGGATTACAAGACGTTCTTCAAGGAGTCGGGCACTGAAGTCTTCATGAAACTCGCTGACATGATGGAACTCGGACCTGCTCTTCTTGACGGCCTCCAGGAAGCTACAGAAGATGCGTCAGTAACTTTTTTTCACGGTCAAAACAAACCCTTTCATATAGTGAGCTCACAGTTTAGTATAACATGGAGATATTGGTCAATCTACTGATTTTCTATATATACTCTAGATCAATGGTTCCTAAACTTGTGGCCATGTAGCAGAATGTTGGGAGCCAGTTGAGGATTTTTTAAGTTACTGGTTTGCCAGACACATGAGTAATATGTTTCTTGTTTTGTCCGTGAAATTACCTTTTTATTTGATTATGTGTTCTTGACCTAAACAAAACACTGAGGCGTATTAGGGCAGTAACTAATATATAACTAAATTCTAAGATTTCCTAAGCAATGTTTTATTATTTTGTTCGTCTGTTTGTTTACTGTTAAACAGATTTTTGCAATAATGCCATTTTCTGTTACTGTAAGTATGGACAGTTTAATGTGCATTATGTTACTTATTTAGTACCATTTCAGTAATCATGACATTCAACAAAAGGAAATTACATTTTGGATTTTTTAAAATAACAAAAGAAAAATAAATAGAGGACTGTTCACGGTCACTAGTCGTGGATTATGCTTGGCGGTGGGCCATGGACAAGGGTCCTGATGAAAAATGGGTAATGATCAGAAAAGCTTGGGAATTAGTGCTTTAGATCACCGAAAACATCTATTATATGTACAATGTGTTCCCTGAAAGATAAGACAATAGTTCTTAAGTCTGAGCAGGTGGTACAGAAGGTAAACAAAAAGGACAAGTGAGAAGTTGCCACTGCCGGCCAGCCTGGTGCGAAAAAGGGAGTAGCTACCCTGTCAATTTATACCGTCTTCATCATCGAGTGCCTCCTCGTGGCCACCCATGGAAACTGGCTATGTTGCGGCCCCCGGCTAAACTGTGGAGGATCTCGGAGCAGCAGGAGGCCCCAGAAGTACAAGATCATGGCCCACCGGCATGTGGACACGCTCTGGCCCTGTACTATCTCCTGCCCCTAAGCCCCCTAGGGTTAAGGGGAGGCTCGGAGGAGGTGGGCCTTGTCAGTCCTCCTCCCCCCAAATATAACCAATCGGCAGTGTTTTTTATAAATGGAAATGCTGAGAGGAAGGGAAACGCCCCTCCCACCCAGTGAGGGGAGTTGTGAGCCCCGTTGACAGGGCGACTGCTGAGGTGCAGGATGGGAACGGGAGCTATTCGTCCTACCTGTGTTCAGGCAGCTGCAAACCCAGTGTGAAGCCCAACGTCGGCAAGGCTCAAGGGAACCCCACAGACAGATGTTAGGTCTAGCAGACTGCCGCTGCCCTTTATATAGGGCAACGTCGGCGGGAGTGGCAAAGCTGGCGCCCACCCAGAGTGACTGCCCGAGGTTAAACCTCAGGCAGGAAGGGCCTTAGAATGTTCGCTCCTTGCGTCAGGATGATCCGCGTTCACTACTGTCATGTGAAATGAGGCTGAAAGTTGAGATATCTGCTCTCAGGGAGACGATAAGACCTGGCAGTGGCATGATTAATATGGATGTAAACTCGACATGAAAGAGATGTTCCATGCCAAACCTACTTCTATGTCGCACAGTTGTCCTCAGCAAAATATTTGTAATGTTCTGGTTGACTTTAATGCAGTATCTGGCTCCGATCGAGCTGGTGGCTATGAGATGTCTGTTGGTTCCGATGGTTTCAGAGCTGATGCCAGCAGTGAGATTAGCCGCCTTTTCTGGGACTGTGCAAGGTCCCAGAAATTTAGGATTTTTAACTTTTGGTACCAGCACTCTGACTCACATTGTTGGACATGGTATAACAGTGCGGGTAATGCAGCCAAGGAGATCGACCACATAATTGCTAGCACTTGTTGGAGGATCCTCCAGAACTGCAGGAACTCCGCCTTGTGCTTGCTGAGAAAAAGTGAACTTAAGTAGGTCTCTGGTTATTGTTTATGCTTTTTGGTTTTACAGTATGAAAGCTGTTATGGAGCGCTGAGTTCTGTGGTACTGACCACATTATTTGTGGCTACTCTCTGAGTCCACTTTAAAACTCCCCAGCGGTCCAATGAACACCCAAAGGTGATTCATCTGGACAAGCTGAGGGAGGGGGATTGTGCCCTGGGTTTTGCAAGACGCTTGATACAGCTCGAGAGTTCATTGGTGAGCCCCCAGGAGATACTGGAAGCTACAGATACTTGTCACTCGGCTCGTCTGACAGGGGATCATGAATTGCATTATTCTCAGGTGCACAGGACTCGTCACTGTTAAGAAGGTAACAAGGAACAGTTTATTTGGAGTCTTGCAGAGGATGTCGAAGGCTATTTATTAGTAAATGACCTTCATCCTGCCTACTCCATGCCCTCTTCATAGGTGAAAGCGGTCCCTTCAGTAAGTGGCCAAGATTGCCTCAAATCCTGTTGGAGTGTGGGAGCATTGGGCTGAAGAGTGATAAAGCAGTGAGTATCTTTGGCATCCCAGCTGAACTGTTGAACTCTGGTGGTACAACCTATGGTGCAGGGGTTGCATGCTGTCCTAGCTACCATCAGGCTGCCATCTGGTAGTCTGGTACCGTCCCCCCAGATCTGAGTGTGGTCATCCCTCTCTGGAAGGGGAAAGGGGATCGATGGGAATGCAGCAATCTCCGAGGCATCACACTGGTCAGTAGACCAGTGAGGCAATCTGGATTTACTCCTGATCAGTCCACAATAGACTGTATCATGACACTTAGAGTCATTATAAAGTGGCGTTGTGAGTTTAGGTGTGGGCTGCTTGCAGCTTACATCATCCTCGAGAAGGCGTTCGATACAGTACATCAGGAATATCTTCGGGAGATTCTCAGATTGAGAAGAATTCTAACGAGGATTATTGGATGAACAATCCTGTATACTGGTACTGAAAGTGTGGTAAGGACCTGTCGAGCTTCTTTCCTGTTAGTTCAGGAGTGAGGCAAGGCTTTGTCCTTGCACCAACATTTTTCAATACTTGCATGGACTACATACTTGGCAGACCTACTGTCCAAAGTCTTTGTGGAGCAACTCTGGGAAATAATAATGTTACAGACCTAGACTTTGCTGATAATGTTATTCTATTTGAATCTTTGTTAACCCTAGTGGTGGTTCAAAATGCATTTGGCTATGAAGTGAAGCCCCTGGACCTAGAGGTTTCTTGGACTAAGATCCAGGGCTTTGGGGACTTGCAGGGAGAATCTGTTCGATCTGTGCTTGCAGCTTTATATAACTTGGTAGTATAGTTCATAACTCAGGTTTGTCAGACCAGAAAGTCAGTAGATGGATTGGCCTGGCAGCAGGGGTCATGAACTCTTGACAAGAGTATTTGATTATGCCATTACCTGTGCAAAAGGACCAAGCTACATGTTTTCATGGCCCTGCTAATGTCTGTTTTACGATACAATAGTGAACCTGGACGTTATCCTGTACATTGGAATCTCGTCTTGATGTCTTTTGTAATAGGCCCTTCCACCGGACCATGGGTACTGTTGGCGGGACCAAAGGTTGCACTGTGAGACTGGCACAGGACCTGTTACTTGCACAATGGGTTGTCGAGACAACCCTGGGTTTAGGAGGCCTTTGGCATGACCTAAGAAATCATGGCTTGGGCAAATCTAACAAACCTGTCGTGAGGAACTCGAGATGGGCCGAGTCCTAGCATGGCGGCTCTTCATGAGGGATTTTCGTAGGTGGAAACGAAGTGTAGATGCGGCTATGTGCTTCCGTCGGCATTATCTCCCAATGAGGATAAAAGGAGAAGTAACCTTCTCTCCTTTACCTCCCTCCTGAAGCTGAAAAATAGACCTATATATAGTATTTGTTTCTGCCATTCGAATACAGTAATCTTTAATCGTTCCTATCCTGACGTGCAGTACAGCGCACATGGATTCGCGAGCTGTGCTGGAGCTGAACATCGCCGAGAGCTTCACCCGACGCGATGGGACGTCCGAGCTGTACGTGGTGCGGGAGAGCGCCATTCCCGGCATGGCAGCGTGGCCCATCCCCCATGACTCTCCATTCAAGAAGAACCTCGACTTCTGCATAAGAGCTTCCCTCGAGGTAAAACTAGCCTGAAATTTATGTGAATCTGATTTTAATCAACTGATGGAGAAACACAAATGCAGCAAAAATTGTACACATTGGGGTAAGACTGGATTCCCCCCAGGCCGGCCTCTACGAGAAGTGGGAGAACGACATGCTGGAGATGGCGCGGCGCGAGAGCCGGGAGCGGCAGCGCAGGCAGCAGAAGGAGCAGCCGCAGGACGAGGAGGAGGCCGAGGGATCCGACGGCGGCATCCAGGCGCTCACCCTCGTGCACATGCAAGGGCCTCTCATGCTCCTGCTCCTGGGGCTGCTGCTGGGGGCGCTCGCCTTCCTGCTGGAGATGGTAACGTCTTCAAAGGGGCGTGAGAAGAGGAATGACGCCGACTTGTAACGTGGATACTGAGAGCTATGTGGATTCTTCTCTCTCTCTCTCTCTCTCTCTCTCTCTCTCTCTCTCTCTCTCTCTCTCTCTCTCTCTCTCTCTCTCTCTCTCTCCTCTCTTCTCTCTCTTTCTCTCTCTCTCTCTTCCTCAATTCTTTCCTTAAATCAACAATCCAACAATTCACCCCCCCCCCAAAAAAAAGAAGAAAAAAAAAAATATATATATATATATATATATATATATATATATATATATATATATATATATATATATATATATATATATATATATATATATTATTATATATATCGTAATAAATCTGACCTCACCTCCGTTCGTTAGCCTACGCAACCCTACATTCTATTAGCACGACAAGGACAAAAATTACCCATGCTTGTGTAACCGCTTACTGTTGATTCATCGATAGTGAACCACCATGACTATTCTGATATCCATGGAATATGTCTTAAACATAACGTAATCAGTTAATAAAGCAGTTAAATGTCTTACACACCTGTTTATTTTTCCTTTTTCATTATTCACCTTCACAGTTCCTGTTGTGGCTGCATCCAATATTATAGAAATATAAAGGGAGGAAACCTGTTCTAATAATTGTATCACAAAATGTACGGATATATATATAATATATATATATATATATATATATTATATATATATATATATATATACACATATATGTATAAATACACACACACACACACACACACACACACATGTATATATAATATATATATATAT